TCTGCTCCCGTAAAGATTTACAGCCTCGGAAACCCTGTACAGGGTCGCTATGAGTTGGAACCGACTCCACGGCACATAACAACAACAACATAAGGGAAAATCAGGAAACAGAAGGAGGCCTATATGTGATGTCACGTTGTAAATTAAATACATGGCACAATACAGCAGTATGAGTTTTACTAAACTGTCTACATGTGAAAATACAACATACTCTTTAGAATGGCTCCATGTGAGAGGGGGTAGTGAAATGGAATGGAGGGTGGTGACAAATGGAATAAGTAAAGCAAGAAAGGGCTTTATGGGCTAAATAAAAGGGTGTACTATTAGCTGAAGAGTACCTGTTTGAGTAACTAAATCTTTCCTACTATAGATGAAAAAACAAAACAAAACAACACAACAACAAAAAAACAGGCAAGGTATTTGAGGACATTTTCTTGTTATGTTCTATTTATGGGGGAGGCTTTGATTTTTGTGGTTTTCCTCATTCTCCCTTGTAAACTCTTAAAATGTTTTGTCTTGGGAAGACTAGACCTCCACACCATTGGAGATGTGTCAGTAGAGGGTGGTGTTGCAGAAGATGAGTTTGGATGTCATGTTTCTGGCCCTAGGATTCTGCTGAAGAAATCCAGGTGAGAGGTCATCAAAGGCATTCAGGCTTTTGTAAGCAATAAGCTTAAGTAAGCAAAGGAGACAATGATGTCATTATTGTTGCTGTTGAGTGCCATCGAGTAAGTACTGACCCATAGCGACCCTGTATAGGGTTTCCAAGGAGCGACTAGTGAACTTGAACTGCCGAGTTGGTGATTCTAATCGACTTTGCAGTCCAGTGCATTAATCCACAGCACCACACCAGGACTCCAATTAGGAGGTTATTAAAACCTTGTTTCCACTTATTGGGTGTTACCTGCAGGCATGTGCCAGCCAAGAAAGAATAAAAAACTCACAGAGAAAATTATAGACAATTGAAGTGTTCATTAACAGTAAAACTAATAACAAAATTTTAGTATTTTCTAAAATGGGATATGCTGCTTAAAATGAATAAAGCACATGTACTAGAAAGAAACCCAAGATGTTAATTACCATAAATTCAGACATCTTCATGTGAAAACAATTGCAATATATACATATAGTATGTTTTAAGAAAAACTACTAAAGAATCTCCTGATTCATAGAGACCCTTATAGGGTTTCCAAGGATCTGATGGTGGTTTACACTGCTGACCTTGAGGTTACCAGTCCAGTGCTTATCCTACAGCACCACACCAGGACTACACTAGAGGAAGTTGCTCTTGTTGTTGTTGTTGTTAAGTGCCATCGAGTCGGTTCCGACCCATAGCGACCCTGAATAGGGTTTCCAAGGCTGTAAATCTTTACGGGAGCAGATCGCCTCATCTTTCTCCCGCGGAGCAGCTGGTAGTTTCGAATTGCTGACCTTCCGGTTCGCAGCCTGATTCGTAACCACTATGCTACCAGAGCTCCTTGTTGTTAGGTTCCTTCAAATTGTTTCCAACTCATATTGACCCTGTATAGGGTTTCCAAGGCGCGTCTGATGAGTTTGAACTGCCATCTTTGTGGTTCAAACAGACCTGTAGCCCAGTGCTTTATCCTACATTGCTACACCAGGACACCACTAGAATGAGTGGGAGGTGGCAAATGGGCAACATGGGTTTCATTCATGGTCTTGGTGAAGGTGGCAAGTGTGGTTGAGCCGGGGAAATGATTGTGTGAATACAAAAGTTCAGGTCTCACAAAGCTCAAACAAGCAAAAAGCCTTTATTTTGCTACCCCCGTCATTCTACCACTTTCTCTGTCTCTCCCCTCTCTTGAATTTCTGGAAGGAGTAATCTCACTGTCTTCACATCCACATCTCTTCAATTCTCACTAATCTGGGTTGTTTCCCATCACTCTTCTGAAACATCCCTGTTCAAGGTCACCAGTGATCTCCAGTGATAAAATGCGGTGATGCCTTCTTCTCAAGCTTCCTCTTCTTTGATGCAATCTTCCCCTCATACCTCTCCCTCTCACTTTTTTTACCTCTGTCCCTCCCACCACTACTTCTTGGATTCTCCATTGTTCCCATAAATGGAGGTCTTCCACTTAACCCATTGTTTTCTCCAGACTCTGTCCTTAGTTTTTAACCCTGGTGGCTTCAAATCCTAGCATAATTCCCACACCAGTTCCTTTTCCTAATAACTAATCTCACATTTCCAACTGAGAACTAAGTATCTTCTACTGTCCTGTTGGCAGCTCAGAATCAATGTGAACAGATCAAACTTAACCACTCCCTTCCCCAACTTCTCCTGCAACGTACTCCTCTTGACCTCTGTATTTCTGTCACTGAGCCCACAATTTGGCTGGCCATCAGCTTGAAATCTCAGTCATATTTTTTCCTTTATCTCTTCAAAATGGCTCCTCATTAGCTAAGATAAAGCCATACTCCTTAATCCATCATCCCAGACTCTTCGTGACCAATACCTGTTTACATTTCTGCTGTTATCTCTTTCTACATCCCTGCACACTCTCCACTCTCTAGCCAA